CCACAAGGCTGCCTGCTTTGTTGATTGGAAAGATGGAGCGAGCTGTGGCTTCTCAGAATGGGCTCGTCAGGTGCAGCACGTTTGGGCTGCTGTGAGTACTGAGACCGACTGACAGCATCTCGGCGTGGATGGATAACATCGTGGAGAGGCTCACGGCTCCCCAACGACAGACTTGTGACCAGTGACGGACATTAGACAACTGTAAAACTGGAACCAGCTTGTTCGCACTAACCAAAACAGCTACCATCTTCATTTCATGTGGCGCCAGCTGGATGCTCAAGGCAAAAGCTGACGATTCTCCCTTAGATAACAAGACTGTGTTGTGACTTTCTCCCTCCTCGTTTAGGCCACCGTCGACCGAAGACTGTTGACTTTAGGGACACTTTCTCTTGGTTGAACACACACACACACATACGCATGTACACTGACACAGACCCACACTCACCCCTCCAAACGCCTTCAAAGCTCATGTCTTTATGTTGTGAGATGTGATGATTCCTGTGCTGTTCCTAAACTGATCTCCCTGTTGAAGCTCAGTCCAGGGGAGTTATTTTTGTCTCCTTGTCTTTCCTCATGTTGTGCATTTTCCATTGTTATACGTCTCTGACCTGTCTTCCCCATGTGATGTTTGTGTAATGTATGTGTGGTCAGAAGGGTAAGATGGCGCTGGCGATGGTCGGCAGCCTTAACAACAGATTTCCCACGCGTGGGACTAATAAAGGTATCTTAAATGATCCTGAAAAAGTCTTGTGCTCATCTGGACGTCTTCAGTGGGACGCATGTCGTCATCAGCTGACTGCAGCTCTCCGACCTTTAACCTTAAACACTGGCCCGTGTGTCGGTTTACTGTGCCCATAGTCTATGAAGGCTAACCTCCGTGCGTCTGTGCCCAAACCGTCGTGCAGCTCTAACAGTGCGAGTCATCAAAGGGAAACTCAAAGTCAAACTTAGCTGGAGGATTGCTCTCGTCCCCCACCGTGATACACGGCGAGGCGACCGCCGCTGTGAAATGTTACAGGCGTCGTTTGAATCCGAGCAGCTTGCAGGAAAACATCCAAAGGCGGGGTTTACAAAAAAATATGAGCATCATAACTTTTAAGTTTCAGAACAGAAACCGCGCCATTCTCCTCTCCAAGGCTTTCATGTGTGATAATAATACGCTTTATTTGAGGTCACCTTACAAATACAGGCCGTTTACCATTTTACAAAGAACAAAATAAAAGGAGCAATGGTCATAAAATGCATAAAATAAGTTAAAACACAGCGTGACAGCTGATTAAAATCAGCACTAAAGCGAATAAGCCAGTTTGAACAAATGTGTTTTGAGCTGTGTCTTAAATACGGAGAGAGTCTATATTTCTTATAGAGTTGCAGAGCCGAGGAGCAACTGAAGGCTCTGTGTCCCACAGTGATGAGATGAGTGGAAGGAACAGTAAGATGAACAGCAGATGATGATCTGAGAGGGAAACAGTGGTGATATGGAGCAGGTCACACAAATATGCAGGAGCAGATTTATGGACACACTTGTACGTGAGAAGTAAGATTTTAAAGTTTATCCTGGTTTCTACGGGCAACCAGTGAAGCTGCTGAAGAACTGGGGTAATATGAGCTCTTAACAGAGTAGAGTTATGACCCGAGCTGCAGAGTTTTGGAGAAGTTGGAGTTTATGAAGGGACCTTTTAGGGAGACCAAATAAGAGGGAACTGTAGTAATCAATACGGGACGTAATAAGACTATGGACAAGGACGGCAGCAGCATGGGGAGGAAGGAAGGGGCGGAGTCGGTTAATATTACGTAAGTGGAAGTAAGCAGACTGGGTTATGTAATTAATGTGAGACTGGAATGAAAGAGTATTATCAAGTATGACACCCAAACTCTTAACCTGAGGGGAGGGTAAAACAGGACAGAGAGTTGAAGACTGGGGTTTAAGTTGGATAAACTGAGTGTGGTCTGAGAGATAGGAGGTGAACCAGGCAAGGGGGTGTGACTAATGCCAATGGATGCTAACTGGTTCAGGAGGATATGGTGAGAATGGTATCAAACGCCGCACTAAGATCAAGAAGGATGAGGATGGATAGGAGACCAGAATCAGCTGCCATCAGAAGGTCATTGGTAATCCTTAGCAGAGCAGTTTCTGTGCTATGATTGGGGCAGAAACCAGATTGAAATTGTTCATAGAGATTATGGTTATTGAGATGTAAATGAAGCTGGGAGGCGACAACTTTTTCAAGAATTTTTGAAATAACCCCTCATCCCACTCCTTTCCAGACTCAAGGCAAAATTTCCGCATCGTAGATTTCAATGTCTGATGAAACCGCTCAAGTGCACCTTGCGACTCAGGATGATAGGCACTAGATTTCTGATGTTTAATGCCAAGTGATCGCAAAACTTGAGCAAAAATCTTAGACATGAAATTAGAGCCTTGGTC